GGGTTTGTGCCCCCCCCCCCCAAATTTTGAGGCTTTTATGTGGAAGTTTTGTGTTGCTACAAATCCTAGGTGCCCAGGTGGCCTCTTGGACCTGATTTCCTACTTAAGTTGTGTAGAAAACATGCTGTTTTATCTTCGGCCAGCAGACATGGCCCTCTCGGTGTGATTCTCCCCTTTATGGGAGGGAAGCTGAGAACCCTTCTGAAACAGGGCCCAGCAGGCAAGAGGAGCAACAGCCTTGTGATGAATAACCTGCCTGCTCGCCCAGGAGGAGGGCCCTCCGTCTGGAAGCCTCATCTCATCTCATCACCCAGAAATGGTTCCAAACCTAAGTGCACAGTAGGCTCAGCCCCCAGGCTCCTCGTTCTAATCACATTGGTCCCCCTGCATCCTTCCCCAAAACAACGCTCCCTGTCATTTTAAGGAGAATGAGGCAAAGAAAGTTCTGTTGGTCTACAAGACTCACTTGAAAGTTGGGGGAGAACCCTGCTAGAATATGGCTCATTTTTAGCGCACTTCAGCTGTGCCGTATGCCGACAGTCATGGTATCCTTCAGCCTGGTTTGCCTTCCAGACCTGTCTTGTGAAGTCCAAGTGTGACCGGGGGTGCAACTTTCCCATCAGCAGGTGGTGGTGGGCCTCCCTGGGCAGGTGGGTGGGGTGAGGGGGCTGGTGGGAAAAGCACTGGTGTGGCCTGGCTGACCAGCAGGCTCGTCCTGGCTGAAGAGGCCAAGGGGGCGCCCTGGGCAGTTGGTTCTTTATAACAGGAGAGAACTAGCTTGTTACTTCACAGTCTCTGCAGCAGTATCAACCTCTACCCCCACCTCCACTAGGTTAAAAGACGAATTGTCAAGGGCTATATTTCCCATTTGTTGGGGTGTGGAGAGGGTGCCGATGAACTGACCTCCAAGGCCCTCCCATCTCCCGGACCGGACAATGCAGCACTTGCCTGCTTGGCTAATAAGTGATTCATGGACATGATACAAGGACTGGTGGCCTGTGTTCCCTCCAGGCCCCAGTCTCAACTCATTTGAAGTTATTATAGCAAAAACCTGGCGACCTAGGAGAGAGGCAGTGAGACCAGCAGCCTGGAGGAGACAAGAATTGGGCTCCACATGCCAGGCTGTGCTGATCTCAATTGCCCCTGTGTGCTCAGCCTGCAGGGGGCTTCTGGGCATCCAGGTGCAGCAGTGGGGGCTTTTAAAGATGTCCAAGTGAATGGATGTGACCCCCTGGGGGCAGAGGGCCAGGCAATTTGGCCTCATTCTTGGGGCCACCCATTCTCCCACTGCGATGGAACCACTGGAAACAGGAGAAACAGGAGCCTGTATTAGCAGATTTGGGATTACCCACCCTCGCCCCTCTCCCCTTTCCAGTCCTCAATTCCACTTTTCTCTCATAAACAAACAAACCAGCAGAGGGCGAGGAGCTGGGAGCCTGGAGGAAGCAGACATTGGCGGACAGGACGGCCCATTCCTGCCCTCCTTGCGCCCAGCGGGCTCCCCTTGGCGGCACCGAGGAGGGCCATGGAAGGCCCTGGGGGATTCTCCGCCCCCCCCCCC